CGCATCGTCATCATCAGCAGCATCATCATCGTCATCATCTTCATCGTCATCAACATCCTCGTTATCATCGTCGGGATCGCACTCGTCTTATCTAGCTCCTCTTCCTCCTCGTTCATATTATCGAGTTCTTCACTCTCCTGATCCCTCTCCTCCTCACCATCATTCCCCTCCTGAGGGTGCAGAGGGACGGGGATCCAGCGCGAGAGAATACTAAAAAGCGTGCCGCCCTCAGCCCGAGGTTGCAGTGCCCCGCCGCCGCCCTCAGCCCGAGGTTGCACTGCCCCGCTGATGGATGGATGGATGGCACGCTCATCAAGGCAGTGACTGAAAGCAAGCTTGCAACCGAGAGAACATATTACGTCGATCACTCGAGATCGTTTTGTCCTTGCCGCCCAAGGAGAGGAGCAGCTGACGGGACAGGCCCAAACGCACCCCGCTGAAGGAGGATAAGAGGATGAGGAAGTGCGACGGAGAGCAGGGAGCAGATGAGGGAGGGGATAATATGTATGATCATGTGTGTGTGCGTGCGTGCGTGTGTGTGTGTGTGTGTGTGTGTGTGTGTGTGTGTGTGTGTGTGTTGTTGTGTGTGGTGGGTGGGGGTGGGGGTGTGGGGTGGGGTGGGTGGGTGGGTGGGTGGGTGGGGGGGTGGGGGGCGGGGCGGGGGGTGGGTGGGCGGGGTGGGGTGGGGTGGGGGGGGGGGGGGGGGGGGGGGGGGGACAAGCATCTATATATGTATACACACATACTTGTGAATGTATGTATGGATGCATGCATGCATGTATACATGTATGTGGATATGCATGCATGTATGTATGTGTGTATGTATGTACGTGTGTGCATGCGTGCGTGTCGGTATTGATGTAGATGTGCGTGTGCGTTTGCATTTGTGCGTACGGAATGGAATGCAACATAGTATAAGGCGAATTAAGCCAATGCGCTGTAGTGTAGCATCGTGCAACGTCGTACGATGTAATGCGGGTCTGCGCGCGTGCGCGTATACCTGCGCGTGCGTACGCAGATATAGATGGCTACACACATATATATACACATATGTATGTATACATATATGTATGTGTGTATATAATCGTGTGCGCGTGCGTGCGTGAAGGCTGTCAGTCCATCCCGCCACCGCGCTTGCGCTGGCTCCAGGATGTTCCCTGGGATGTCGTGGGAGGCCTCCCGGGGGCCTGCTGGGGCCCGTTCTGATGCACGTGGGGGGCCGTTTGGGGGCGTTTTAGAGGCGCGTTGGGGGCGTCTCGTGGCCCCTCGAGGCCTTCGTTGGGCATCCTGGGGGCTTTCTGGAGCGGGGGGCTCGGATGCTCGGTTCGTGCCCCACCCCTCTTGGGCCTTTCTCAGGGCTGCCTTTCCAGTTCCCCTGGGCTGTCTCGGGCGCCTCCAGGGCCGCATTGGGGCCCTCTTGGGCTGTCCGTGGGGCCCTCTTCGGGGGCCTGTTGGGGCGGTATTCGGGGCCTCTTGGGCCGTCTTGGAGCGTCAGAAGCGGTTGAACCCCCCCCCCCCCCCCTTCAAAAAAGTGAACGACCGAATGAACAGCAGCGGTTTTGGCCTTTCGGGGCCCTGGTGGGAAGGCTCTCGGGGCCCCCTTTGGCCGCCGCGAAGGCTTCTTGGGCCGCGTTGGGGCTCCTATGGGGCGTCTTGGGCCGATCGCGCGGCGATTCGGAACCTCCGTTGCACCTTCTCGGGGATATCTCGGGGCGCTCATAGGAGGAGGAGGAGGAGGAGGAGGAGGATTGGCCCGTCTTGGGGCCCTCGCGGGCCCGAACAGAACTCCTGCGGCAGCACTCTCCGCCCGCGCGGGGCGTCGCGTGGGGGGCCTTCGGAAGAGTTCGTGGACAGGGGGGTCTGGGCCCCTTGGAGGGGTCCTAAGCGCCGAGGACTGAGGCTTGCGGGATGACCATGAGGGGGAAACACACATGCACAATTCATTGCCGATCCCCAGGGAGCTTCGGGAGCAGATGGGAAGTGGGGGTGGAAGGCGAAGACCCAGAATATGTGGGATGGCATAGGAGAAACCTGGGATTTGTGCGCATGTATTTGCGTGTCCCTGATCCCCTTCAGATTAGGCCGAGGACCTGATGACACTCCAACTCGAGTCTCAGGGCACCGTTGCGTTTATGCATGTCTCCCCCAAGCAGTGCTTGCACTTAGGGGTTCTGACTTCTGTTTGAGGGCAACTGGGCCGCGGCGGTGGTCTCGACAGCTCGGCGCCGCCCGTCGCCGCCATCGCAGCTGGGCCCTGGTGGCGGCCCGGTTGGCTCGTCGCCGCCCGTCGCCGCGTCGTCTTGCACTGCTTTACATTTGCTCGCACTGCTTTGCATGGTTTTGCGTCGCATTGTTTGGTTTTGCCGTGTTGTGCGTTGATTTGAAGTGCTTCGCGCTGCATTGTGCATTGTTTTTTTGCATTGTTTTGCACTGCTTGGTTTGCAGCGCATTGCATTGCATTGCATTGTTGTGCATTGCTGCGCACTGTTTTGCATCGTTTTGCATTGCATTGCTTTCCACCATATAGATTGCGCCACATGGCTTGCACCATCTAGATATCGCTATATTGATTGCACCACCTTGATCGCAATGCGTAGTCTGCAATAAATCATTGTTTGGGATCCACTCTGGCTAGCACACACACATGTATATACGGACTTACACGATGTGTGTATGAGTATATGTATATGTTTATGTCTGGGTTTCGGCATATATATATGTACATCTATTCGTTTATATGTATTTATATATACATATGTATATATATATATATATATATATATATATATATATATATATGTTTATGTATATGTATATAAATATATAAATGTGCGTATGTATGTGTAAATGTATTTGTAAAGCTACATGCATATGTTTATGTATATGCATAGGCATATGCTCATAGGGATAAGCATATAAGAGGCCTGCGCCCTCTGCCGGCAGCCCCCCTACTACTAGTGCGGGCGGCTGCGCGGGGGTCTCCTCTTGGGGGTCTCCTTGGGGCCTCTTGGGGGCCTCTGGGGGGTCTCCGTGGAGCCTCTTGGGGGTCTCGTTGGGGCTTCTTGGAAACAATAGTTTGGGTCTTTTCGGGGTCTCCTTGGGGCCTCTTGGGGGCCTCTTGGGGGCCTCTTGGGACCAGCTTGAGGGCCTCCCGGGGCCCTCTCGGGGCGGAAAGGTCGAGTTTTCGGTTCGTGGATTCCCTCTTGGGCCTCTCTTGGGATCGTCTTGGGACCCTTTTGGGCCGTCTGGGCGCCTCTTGGACCGTCATGAGGTCCTCTTGGACCGTCTTAGGGCCGTCTTGGGGGCCTCTTGGGCTGTCATGGGGGCTTCTAGGGCCGTCGTGGGGCGATTTTGGGAACCTTTTGGTCAGTCTCGGAGCGTCGGAAAGCCGAAAACGCGAGAAGGCCAAAAACCTTCAAAAACGTTAGGAAAATCGTTGTTTTTTTCTTCGTGGGGCCCTTTTGGGAGGCCTCTTGGAGGCTTCTTGGGCCGTCTTGGGAGCATCTTGGGTCGTCTTGGGGCCATCGTGGGACATCTTGGGGCCATTTTGGGCCGCGTTGGTCTCCTGAGGCTCTCTTCAGAGCCTCGTCGGGCAATCTTGGAGGCCTCTCGTGCCGTTCTGGCAGCGCGGTGGCATCACCATGAGTCGGAAGCTGGGCGAGGGCTGGCAAATCCGTGGTTGCTAAAACAGTTGTCCCAGAAGAAAAAAACCAAATTCCCGGAATAAAACTCAGCGCGCTACATAGTAAATGGGCTGCCTCCTGGAAGAAAAAATAAGTTCCCGGAGCTCCGTTTTAGCAGCCACGGAATTGCCAGCCTTCGCCTGACTTCTTGATGAAAATCCTGGGGTGGCCCGGAGCAGCCTGGATTGGAGGTTCCCCCCCCCGTTGGCTGTTCGGTGAGGCGGCGGGGCCCCCTATCGGACAGTAAGCAGGAGGCAGGAAACAGGAGAGGAAAAAACACAGACACAATGAATCGTCGATCCCCAGGAACATATGGGAAAATATGGAAAGTGGGGGGGAAGACAAAAGCTCAGAATATGTATGAAAATATGGGGAATCTGGTTATTTGTGTGTATTTATTTGTGTGTCCTGGGGCCCTTTCAGACTGGAGAGACAAAAGGCCAAACAACAAATGGCAACACATAAAAACACGACATCAGACCGCACGCACATACCTTCGCAGCCTTGCGCCTCGGGGCCGACATACATACGTACATAATGTGTATACATAGAGAGATAATATGTAAATCAACATATGTACATATCGAAATATACATATACATATCTACGTATTGACATATAGCCGATAACGATGATAAGCGGACCCTTGCATCCTTCCCTCCTCGTTCCATCCTTGACCGTTTTCGATGGCCCGCCGCGTTCGAAAAACAAAAAAGAACTTGAACACGAACGTCCAAGAGGCTTCCATCCTTATCGCGCATCCTCATTACCCGTTTTAATTGTATAGACCGCTCATCCCTGCCCCGCTCCTTCCCCCTCCCTCCCCTTCCCCTTCACCCATCCCCCTTCCCCCTCCCCTTCACCCATCCTCCCTCCCCTCCTTGCTCCCTCCACCCCAGGGGGCGGATCGGAGACGATCTAGGACGACGTTGCCGACGACGACGCCGACGACGACGCCGCCGACGAGGAACCGCCGATGACCACGACGACGACGCCGACGACGCACCCGACGACGGCGATCCCCCCCGCACCGCCTCAGCTGGGCGTTCGCCGTCGTCGGCTTCGCTCTGTCAAATCCCCAGGCCCGTAGCTACAATATTACTTGTAAAAGACGTGGGGGAACCGACTTCGTATGACCCCAAAAAATGCATGTTGCGAGTTTCCAAGCTGAGTTTCGAGGAAGCTTTCTTCTCATGATCTGAGCACTTCTTCGCGTGCTTAGAGCTCTACGAGGGTCCCTGGCGTCGTTGTCGCGGCCGCCGCCGCCGCCGCCGTCGCCGTCGCCCTCGTCGTCACCGCCGCCGCGCCGCCCCGCAGCTCGGCCTGGGCGGCGCGTGACCGCGCCCGCGGCCGCGGGCGGCGCGCGGCGTCGGCCAGGAGTGCCGGCGGGTGTCGCCGGCGGGGCCGCGTGCTGCCAGGGTTCAGTCGGGCGTGTGTCCCTACAGGGGGATTGTCGACGAAAAACAAAAGATACCCCCAAAGTAGTCCAAAAATAGTCCAAATATAGTTTTTTTTTTGGTTTTACCTTTTTGGGGTATTTTTGACGTATTTTTTATTTGTCGTCGAAGATCCCCCTGTAGTAGGGGGACAGGCCCGACATGATGCCAGGGGTCCGGGGGGGGGAGGGGTGGTCGGCCACGCGCGGAGGGTGCAGAGGTCCTCGATTTGTCCTTGCCCGGTGTCAGCCTCGCCCTGGTCGCGTTTCTGGGCGGGAGGGAGGAGGCGCGAGAAGGAGAAAAGGGCCCAGACCCCCTCGAGTAATGAAAAAATCATGACGGGATGTTTTTCCTAATTTTCGGCTTCTGGGGGCCCTCACCGGGCCTCGGGAGCGTCAAAAAACGACTCAGGATGCACAGCCGGTCATGGGGAAAGGGTCCAGACCTCTGGGGGTCGACGTAATGAAAAAAACATTACGTCGGGGGTCTGGTGGTGAGGGGGGGGGGGGGAAGGAGGGGGAGGGGCGGGGCTCATGCCGATTCCTCCGATGCGACTCGACGTCGGCGGCCTCCGATTCCGCTTCGATTCGGCCTCGGATGCCGATGTGCGCACCGATTTCTGAATGGCTGTCGGCCAGCCTGCCGGTTTCCGCCGACTCGACTTCTCCCGACGCGGCCGCCGGTCTCCACCGGTGCGAGCCGCTTCGGTCGCCGATCCGACTGCCCGATGCGGCCCGGGGCCCTCCCGGAGGGGGGGTGGGAGCACGGGGGTGCGCGCTGCCGAGGCACGATCTTCGGGGGCCTCCTGCAGGCGGCGGACGTGGACCTGTGTGCCCCCCCCCCCCGAGACCGAGCAGCATGTCCACATCCACCGCCTGCCGAGGTCCCCGAGGATCGATTCAATCCAGGCGGCTGGCCCTGGACAGATCCCCGCCCCGGCCCTCTTCTCGCAGCACGAGCGGCAGAAGCACCGCCCCTGGCGCGCTCCACGCGCCAGCAGAGGGAGCGTCCAGCGCCGATCCGCCGTCCCCGCCGTCGAAGTCGAGGGGAAGGAAGCAAAAGTCAAGCAGTGGCGAAGCGTCCTGGCTCGCCTATAGCCCGACCGAGCAATGTTCTAGGAACCTTTTGTGGTTTCCACGGAATATTCTTAGAACATTTCTGGCGGAGTCTGTCTGGTTTTATCACATCGGGCTTATGTTCTAAGAACATTGTTTTTGTTATTAGAACATTTTTGGGTTCTAAGAACATTTCGTGGTAGGACTATAGGAATGCCGGGACCGTCGGTCCCTACTCTAAAAAGGGTGCGGGCACGGCACGTTGCATGCACTGCCCTGTTGCGTCGGGCACGTCCCTCCGCAGGAGGAAGACTCCAGAATAGTCACGGCATGGGCTGGGGACGCCGCTTCGTGCTCTCTTGACTATGTTTGAGATTTTGCGTTGACCATGTTTCATTTTTCTTCCGAACTCCCCCTGTGGGATGAGACGCCCGACTTCTTGGAGGGAGGCTGCTTCTCAGAGGGCGCGAGCCTGGCATCTACCGACAGGGCCCGCGCCTTCTAAAGAAGTAAGGGTGCTTGAAAAAGAAGCCTTTCCCCCCATCTCCCTACGGCAGGGCAGGTTCGCGTCGTGCCGACCGCCGGCGACCCCACCGCGTGCGTTTCAGGTTGGATGCCGCCGCCCGTGGCCCAGAACTTGCCCGTCGTTGCACGATCCGGCGCCCACGGAGCGTCCGATCCTTCAAGTGTGAACGATCCCCGCGGTGTCAGGAACCAACGCCGAGGTCGCCACGACGCGGACTTGTCGTATCCCCCTCTGCGCGTGGCCGAGCTGAGACAAATGGCCACCTCGGGCTCAGGAGGGGGAGGAGGAAGGGGAGGAGGAGGAGGAGGAGGAGGAGGAGGAGGAGGAGGAGGAGGAGGAGGAGGAGGAGGACGAGGACGAGGAGGAGGAGGAGGAGGAGGAGGAGGAGGAGGAGGAGGGGGGGAGGGGGGGGGAGGAGGAGGAGGGGGGGGGAGGTGGAGGAGCTCTGGTGTTCGGGGGGCGCTATCTTGGTCCTGGGCCGGGGAGTGCCTCTTCGGCTCGCCAGAGCGAGCTGAGGCCCCTGCGCACCCTGTATAACAGCTGGCTCTCCTTGTGCCAGTGCGAGGCCTGCACACGCCGGTCGGGGAAACGGAAGGCTCGAGTAAGCCGGAACTCGGGTCTGGTGGCGCTTTTTGATGAGCGCGCCCGGGGTTTGGGCGGTCCAGTTTTCGCAGGATGTCTGCGGCGGGAGCTCGCGTCTGATTGCAGACTGGCTCTCGTCATTTTTACGATGGCCCCGTCAGGCCAACCCGAGTCCCGCGTGCCCGAGTCTGACGTCTCCCTGATTTTTGTTGGATTCCCTGGCTCTAATCTCATCTAGACGCCCCCCTGCTTCCAGTATCGGGCGGTTTCCTCCTTCCCTCCCCTTCAGGGGGCGGCCGGAGGCCCCGTCTGCTTCCAACGCCTTCCCACGGCATGGTCCTCCCACCGCTGCCGGCCGGCGGGTAGACTGCGCGTCGCGCATCGCAGGGCGCGAGGCGCGAGACCGGGTGGCTTGGGGCTGAGGCATGATGATGGAGGGCCGTGAGGGCGGAGCGGACAGGGAGCGGCGGGACGCGCAAGCGAGGGCGAGGTGGAGGAGGAGGAGGAGGAGGAGGAGGAGGAGGCGGAAGATAGGAAGAGGAGGAGGAGGAGGAAGAGGAGGAGGAGGAGGAGGAGGTGGAGGAGGAGGAGGATGCGGAGGCGGAGGAGGAGGAAGGAGGAGGAGGAGGAGGAGGAGGAGGAGGAGGAGGAGTCCGTAGCAATTTTGGTTCAAGTCCGTAGCGGCTTGCTCGAGGACGAGAGTTTCTGGCAAGGGGATCCGCGGCCCCACCAGCTGTCGCACCCCCGCGGTGCATGCTTTGCCCCCAACAAACGCTGCGAGTACAAAGAGAACTTCGGCTGGCGCATGTCGTGCCGTGTGCGCGGGCAGACACCATCAGGAGTTCCTCGGCCCGCCGCCATGCCCGCGGGCACCAGTGCAGGCAGGCCGAGCGCCTGGGCCAACGGACCCCCGCGCGTTCAGCCTCAGTCTGGTGGCATTGCGAAGTCTGTGCAGATCTCGGAGGAGATGGTCGCTGTCTATGCCCGCATGCTCGAGGATGACTTCGCCGTCCTCGCCAGCGGCTGGCCCAGCAAGTCCATCGATAGAGTTGTCAGCAAGCGGACGTTGGACTCAGGTGCTCCTGAGCCCGTGGCTCGCTTTGCTCGACAGACTACAGATTCGCTCCGCCAGCAAGTCAATCAGGCTCAGGTCAAGTATGAGAAGGCCAAGGCCAGTACTGTTCAGGCCATGGCCCACATGGCCGAGTGTCAGAACAACCTCGACCGTCTCAAGAAGGAAGCCGAGGCCGCCGCCGCCAAGGCGGCCGAGGCATGCAGCGCCACGGCGGCTCAGGGGCAGCCGCTCTCGGCCGCCGCGGCGCTTCAGCAGATGCAGGGGCAGATGCAGGGGCTCCTGGGCGCGCTGCGCCTGGCTGCGCCTGAGGAGGCAGGGCAGCTCGAGCAGCTCGTCGCCTCTGCCACGCAGCGCGTTTGCCCCCCGCCGCAGGTCGCCGCCGAGCCAGCCGCGGGCGCCGCGGGCGCCGCGGGCGCGGGCAGCGGTGCTCCTGACGCTGCTCCCGCTGCTGGCGCTGCTGGCGGCGGCGCTGGCGGGGCCGCGGCCCCAGGCAGCTCTGGCGCGCCCGCGGCAGCCCCAGGGGCCCCTGACTGGGGGGCCATGGCCGATCCAGATGGAGCCTTCTTCAGGGAGTTCACGGCGGCGTCTGACATGGCGGTCGACGGCGAGGGCGAGGCCAAGCTCGAGGAACGCCAGGGCGAGCGCCAGAAGCTCTCGCGCTCCCTCTTCACCGACTTCGCCCGCTCCATGCAGGAGCGCCACGCCATGCGCGTTCGCACCGCGCCGTCGGTTTAGCCGGGGTGTTTCTTTCGTCGCAGCCAACGTCACGGGCCGCGTTGGGCTCGAGAGTCTATTGGAGTCACAGCAGGTTGCTTGAGAATACTGCAGTGGCAGTTCAGGAGCACCACTTCGCCGTGGTCCAGGCACGGGAGGCTCGCTTTCGGCGGCTGGGATGGTCCGCCAAGGGTCTGGCGGCGCGCGTGAACCCAGCTGGTGGCACTACGGGCGGACTCTCCCAGATGGTTCCGCGCAGGATCGGCATGGCAGAACTTCCTGAGCAGAGCTTCTGAATGCCTGGAGCCAGGGTCAGTCTTCTGCATCTGTCGGTGCTTCGCCCTGACGGCGCGTTGCGGGCCAACATGTAGCTGCGTGACACCCGAGGGCCTTCTCCACATATTTGGCAGCTGCCTAGTGCGTTGGGTGGCATTGCGTGCAGATGCGGGCTGCCGTTCGTCGTCGCGGGCGACTGGAACATGGCCCCCCTGCGCGCGGGATGGCCCGGCACGCTGAGCGCGGTGCTACTGGCGCCGAACGTGGCCACGTGCCCCCGGGCCGCCGTGCGCACGCTCGATTGGTTCACTGTCTCCCACGGGCCCCGCTACTGGGCGGAGTTGCAGGTCCTCATGGCGGCCGGCACCGAGGTCGCAAGCCTATCGTGGCCTCCCTTCGCGGGGCCAAGGCCGCAGTCTCACTTCCTCAAGTTCGGGTGCCGCGTCAATTTCCTCGTCAGAGGCCAGGGGGATGCTACCTTCCCTCTGGTCGGCGGCCTGCGGTCCAACGTCTGCTGGACAGCGCGCGGGCGAGGCTCGGCGCGGCTTTGTTACCGTCATGGGGCAGGAGTTCCTCGAGATCTATCAGATCCCCGACGACGAGCGCGGCATGTGCGTGGGCCGTGCGCGGCCGCTGCGGCGCAGGATGCGGGGCGCGCTGCGCCCCCGCAGCCCGCGCTACCCTCGCACTTCCAGCGTGGTCGTTTGGTTTCGCGCTCTCAGCCAGGTTTCGCTCGAGCTTTCTAGGCCCCGGAGTCCCGCTGCTCGGGGCTCGAGCCACGGTTCAAGTCGGCGGCTGATTCGTTACTCGGGCTCTCTTCCCGCGGCCCTCGCGGGGCCTTGGCGCGTTGTTCTCGAGGCGGCTGCCGGCCTGGACTTGGGGCCTGGCCAAGTTTTTATTCGCGGAGGCGCAGGCCTCCGCTGCAGTGCATCAGAAGAACGCAGAGAGGCGCAGAGATCGTGAGTGGCGCGAGTGGGTTCAGCAGCACAGTAATGCTGGTGGAAAGGGCCTTCTACGGCATCTCCAAGCCCGTTGCCCCCCGGCACTCCAGCCCCGCTTTTGCCGCGGACGGAGCTGCGCGAGCGGCGCCAGCGTCGCGAGAGCAGGAGTTGCAGTTATTGGAGGAGGAGTGATGTCGGCACTGGCGGATGGGGGAGTTGGAGGACACCGCCCGCCGGCCTGAAGAAATGGGCCCGCCGCTTCCCGATTTCAGTCTCGAAGATCTGCGCGAACGCGTCCGATCTTTCAAGCCTGCCAGCGGCGCTGGCTTTGACCAAGTCAGTCCTCGACAGCCCGGCGGGCTTTGCGACGAGGGGCTCGAATGCCTCTGCTGCTGCTCATCGAGCGTTTCGTGGCCAGGTGCCTGGTCGAAGATTGCGTTTTTGATGAAGCGCACTGGGGGGGGGGCCTTCGGCCCACTGCGCAGCTCCAAGTTTGCGCGCGCGTCCAAAGGCGCGTCAGACGGCCTTTGCTCGCGCGGCGGCAGCAAGAGAGCTTCCGTGAGTTTGGGTGGTCGGCCTCGGGGCGCGGTTCGGAGCGTTTGGTTTGGATCCAGGCTGCCACCGCCGAGCGGGCTGTTTCCAGGAATCTTGCCGCAGGGGCGGCCCTGCTGGACTTTCACTAGGCTTCCGAGAAGATTCGGCGCGGCGCTCTGGTTGAAGCCGCTCAGCGCACGGGCTTCCTCCTGCGACAGTGCGACTGATCGCCGCTGTGCACCGTTCGCCGCGCATTCTCGAGTTCTCTGGTGTCAGTTCGCAGCCCGTCCTCGCTCGGCAGGCCGTGCTCGCAGGTTGTCAGTTAGCGACTCTCTGCCCGCAGATGGTTGTTCTTGTTCCATTAGATCGCGCGCAGGCGGCTTTCCCTGGGCAGACCGCCCAGGAGGTGCAGCTAGGAGCCGTCGTCGACGACTTTGGGCTCCACAAGGTGGGGTCAGAGCAGAGAGTCCACCAGTGCCTCGCTGCTGCTACCGCCTTGCTGCACGACGAGTTGCACAGTGCACCTGCCAGTCAGCGCCCCCGAGAACCGCGCGCTGGCGTCTGCCCCCTCCCTCAGATCTGGGCCCGCTGCCGCCCTTCGCTCTCGTCGGGCCTTGGCCGTCCTGCTGGAGAGGAACGTCGGGGTGGACTACGCCGCGGGAGGGGTAATTCGCCGGGCCACCAAGCGTGCCAGACGCCGCGCCGCCGCCACCCGCCATCGCAAGATGACCAGGCTCTCTGGCCAGGTCAAACGTCGCAGACTGCGCAACATGACGCGAGCGGCCGTTCAGGCCTCCACCTCGCATGGGTCGGGGGTAATGGGAACGTCCGAGACCGAGTTGCGCGAAGCATTTTGTGTTATGCGAGTGTGCAGTCTCAGAAGCTAGTTGGCCGCAGTGCTACGTTGTTTGTGCACACGTCAGGCAAGAAAAAGATGGATCCTGCTCCTGTTATATGTGCTGCCCCTCTCCTGCACCCCGCCTCGGCCGTCTGGGAGTCTCGGGCGCCGCGCGGGGTCATTGCTGCTGGTCTGGGGGGGTGCCAGTCGAGCCCTCCAGAACTTTCAGTCTCCTTGGAAGTCTCTGTGAGGCCCCTTCACCAGTTGCGTCGCGTCGGCGCACAGGCTTGGCATCAGCGCCCGAGGCCTCTCGCGGCAGCGCCCGATTGTCGGAGATTTCTCGCCTGTCGACTTCTGCCCCAGGACTGTCGTTCGAGCGCTCTAGCGCATCGTTGAGCCTTGGTGTTTGCAGGGTGTCGCCAAGCATCTGCAGCGGCCTGAGTTCGAGAGAGGACCGATGCTTGCCCCAGTCTTGTCAGGCATGAGAAAGCTGGTGGCCCATGGGAGAGGCTATGTCCTTTTCCGTTGTTTCTGGCGGCCAGTGGCCACAAGTTCGGCAGGCCGAAGCCTTCTCTTGCGAGGCTGAGTGTTTCGTCTGCCGCCCGGCGCCTGGCACCCTAGCGCACGGGCGCGTCTCCTGCCCTGGCCGCGAGGAGGTGTTTCAGGCTGAGACGCCCGCTGTTGCGGCCGCCATGGTGCAGAATCTTTCTCACCCCATCGTCCGCTTGCTCGTGGAGAGGCTGCTGCCGACGCTGCCTGCCTCTTCTCACCCGCCCCCTGTCCCCCCCGAGGAGGTCTGGCTGCAAGGGCATCCTGGGCTGCTGGGCGGGTTCCCTTCTCTGGACGGGAGCTTCCTGGACGGGGGCCTGCCCCCCGAGGCGCAAAGCCCGGGATGGGCCGCAGTTGCCCTGCAGGATGACAGGCCTGTTTCAGCCGCCGTGCTCGCAGGAGGGCCCCCCGCTGGTTTGTACGACGTCGACGCTGTCGAGCCCTGGGCCTTTCTCCCCGCGCTCAGGCTCGCCCTCCCCGGCGCTTTTTTTGGGCGGACTCGCAGTTCGCGTGCGACGGAGTCAACAAGCGTGGTCCCCGACAGCGCCTTGCTGCCAGGACTGCCTGGGCAGACCTTTGGGCGCTGGCGCGGGCCGCCATCGAGGATCGCGGGGGGGGGGGAGGGGCGGGCGAGTCTCTTCGGCTGCGCAAAGTCAAGGCCCGCACCACCGCCGCAGATGTTGACTTAGGGCGAATCACTTTTCGGCAGCGCGAGGGCAACCTTTTGGCCGACAAGACGGCTAGGGAGACCGCCGCCTTCACGCGTGTCTCTGAGCGTGACAGTTTTCTGCATCGCTCGCAGGCCAAGGTGCTCTCGTTTCTCGCAGCTTGGATTGGACGTATCGGTTGCAAGCTGGCCGATGTTGATTGTATGCATGTCCCATCGGCTCGCGTCAAGAAGGCACTTGATGCGTTGCCGTTGCATGTTATCCCCCCCGTGACCTCGCCTGCTGAAAGTCGGGCCGACGCTGCGATCGCGGTGCTGCTGAGAGAGGGACATGCCACTCATCGTGCCTTCCTTTTCATTCTCGCGGGGGGGAGGCGCGGCGCGGCGTGCGCCCACTGTGGGGCGGGCGGAGTCACCATCTCCAGGCAGTTTCGAGAGCAGTGCCCACCCGCCCCCACGGCGTGGGGTAATTGTGTGTTGCGAGGCCTTGAGCAGGGCAGATACAAGCAGGGTGGAGTGGTTTCTCCGCACCGAGTCTTGGCGCCTTGGCGATTTAGATAGGAGTGGTTTGGGCTTGGGCCAGCGACCCCCACTTGGAGAGCACCCTGCCGCTGGCCCTCCGACTGGATGTCGCCCCCAGTCCGAGGTGGCAGAACGGACGTCCTGATGGGTGCTCTCCCGTGGTTTTGGTTTGGAGCCCGATTTCAAGGGCTCCCGTGGGAACTTCGGGAGCGCTTGGTGAGTGCGCGAGAGGTTCGATGTCTGTTCATGGGAGCCTTGGGTCCTGCATGTGGACAGCGTGGGGGCTGCATTTGGCCCATCCTCCTGCTCCTCCTCTCCCCTTTTGTTCCCCCTCCCCCTCCTCGTTCTCCTCCAGTCCAAGTCTGGTCCGACTCCGGTCCAAATCAGGCCCAGATTGGACAGTGCCGGGGGCCAAGCGGGCTCCCATGGAACGGACACCAAAAGGAGGAAGAGGAGGAGGAGGAGGAAGATGAGGAGGAGGAGGAGGAGGGGGAGGAGGAGGTGGTGGAGGAAGAGGAGGAACAACGAGGCTTCGTCAGCCGACTATGCAGACACCAGGTGTCAGGTGCCAGGAGGAGCAACAGCAGAAACAGCAGAAGGAGGCGGACGAGGGGGAGGAGGAAAACGATGGGAGGAGGAAGAGGAGGAGGAGGAGGAGGAGGAGGAGGAGGAGGAGAGGAGGAGGAGGAGGAGGAGGAGGAGGAGGAGGAGGAGGAGGAGGAGGAGGAGGAGGAAGAAAAGAGGAACAGAGGAAGAACAGAGGACGAACAGAGGAGGAACAGAGGAAAAACAGAGGAGGAACAGAGGAGAAACAGAGGAGGAGAAACAGAGGAGTAGAAATAGAGGAGGAGGAGGAGGAAAAGGAGGAGGAGGGGGAGGAAAGAGGAGGTGGAGGCGGGGGTGGAGATGGATATGGAGCAGACGCAGACTGATGAGCAGCAGGAGAAGCAGCAGCAGGATTATGAGGGGCAGAGGCAGACGGAGCAGCAGCAGGAGAAACAAAAGCAGCCAAGGGCAGGTGGCCGGGAGGCGTGTGTATGTGCGCGTGTGTGTGTGTGTGTGTGTTTGCGTGAGAGAGAGAGAGTGTGTGTGTGTGTGTGTGTGTGTGTGTGCGTGCGTGTGTGTGTGTGTGTGTGTGTGTCAGACAGTATGTGTGTGTGTCGATCCGAACGCTCTCCGCTTGATTTGCCCTACGCCGCGGCGCCGCGCGCGTGGCCGCGACGCTAAAAAATGTATGTGTGTGTGTGTGTGTTTGTGTGCGTGCGTGCGTGCCTGTGCGTGCGTGTGTGTGTGTGTGTGTGCGTGTGTGTGTGAATGTGTGTGTGTGTGTGTAATGTGTGCGTGCGTGCGTGCGTGCGTGACTACGCGCACTCCGCCTCGTCGCCGCGCGCGAGGCCGCAACCGCCAACATGTTATGCATGTGTATATACACATAGATGTATATGTATACATGCATGCATGTCTATGTCTTGTGTGTGCTTGCGTGTGTGTGTGTGTGCGTGGGAAGGCGGAGAGCCATGGGGACGGCAGAGAGGCAGAGAGGCAGAGGGCTGGGGCGCGCAGCACGCGGCCGCCGGGCGAGCGCGGCCCTGCGCAGGGTATGCACGGCCAGCCACAGCCGGGGTGGAGCTGCGGCTCCAGCGCAGTCACAGTGTGTCTGGACGCCCGAAATGAATACGGAAAGAATGGGTACAATGCCCAACAGCAGTTCCTGTTCATTTTGAACAGGACTCGCCGTCCACGCCGCCGCGGCCTGTGTCCATTCGAGACAGAAGGCCGCCTGCCCAACAGCGGCCGCTGTTGGTTTGGGACAACATTTGTTGTTGGGCATTGTACCCATTTTTGTCCGTACCCATTTCGGGCGTCCAACGTGCGGGTCGTTTGTCAAGCAGTGGCGAAGCGTCTTGGCTCGCCTGTAGCCCTACCAGACAATGTTCTAAGAACCTTCTGTGGCTTCCACGAAGTGTCCTCAGAACCTTTCTGGCGGAGCCTGTCTTGTTTTAGCACATCGGCTTTATGTTCTAAGAACACCGCTGTTGTTCTTAGACAAATCCTGGGTTCTAAGAACATGTCGTGGCAGGACTACAGGAATGCCGGGACGGTCGGTCCATGCTCGAGTTTTGGGGTGCTCCTCGCAGCGTGGACTCGCGGCGTGTTGCCTCGACGTCCGTATTCCGTGCAGTCGGCCCCCCCGTCAGTCCGCCGACTGGGGCAGGGCGCGCTCCGAGTCCGGAGCAGATCTCTTCCCACGTTCCCCCTTCTTCCATGCTCCCCCTCCTCTCCCCTCCCTCCTCCCTCCCTCTCCCTGCCCTCCTCCCCTCCCTCCCCTCCTGCTCCTCCCTCCTCCCCCTTCCTTCCTCCCATGCTCCCCCTCCTCCTCCCTCCCCCTCCCCTCCCCCTCCTCTCCCCTCCCTCCTCCCTCCGTCCTCCTCCTGTCCTCCTCCCCCTCCCCCTCCTTCTCCTCCTCCGTCCCTTGTCCTGTCGCACTCCCAGACGTGTCGGGAGGGCGGGCCAGCTGTTTCGCTTGAGCTTTCCTCGCAATCTGTGATCCTGAAGCTTGAACTCTGTTTACGAATGGAGGGCGGTTGGTTTTCAACATGTGGCTCTAGCTTAAGCGCCGCGCACAATATGCATGTCTTACAAGTTGGCAGCAGGTTCACGGGTGGAGGGCGGGTGTTTTTTTAATGATTTTCTCGTCTTACGCCGCGCACGTTTGGTTCAACGTTTGCAACAGTTTCACGGATGCAGGGCGGGCCGTTTACAAAATGTGGTTTTCGCGTTAGCGCCGCACACATTCGTTTTGAACCTTCTGTCAGGACGCAACAGTCACGTTGACTCGCGCTGTTGAATTTCCAGGAATGGTGTCTTGGCACGGTTCGTGATTGTCAGGACGCAATCGTCACGTTGATCCGCAGCGTTGATCCGCAAGTCCAAGGAACGCTATGATGCCACGAATGAGGTCAGACGATTGTTTTATATCAGGTCATTTCCAGCAATGCAGACCTATTTTTTGGGGACCTATGAAGAGGGAGCTTGGAGGGAGGGTTGATTGCAACATCGTTGGATCGAGGCATAAGATCGTGGTCGGCCAGGGGGCAGGGTACCCTAATGTTCTCTTCGTGCCTCTTGGCTGTTCTTGTGCACCCTGGGGAGGACACAGATTTGGATGCTTTGTGCGCGCTCTGGCCGGCGGAGCGCCTCCTGTTCTTGAAGTGATGGGCCTGTTTTCCACCACCACCACCATAAGTTGGAGCTCCTCCTCCTCCTCGTCCTCCTCCTTCCCCCCTCCAACTTATGGTGGTGGTGGTGGAAACAGGCCCATCAAGCACAGCTCCCCCCTGCTGTGGCTGGTCGGCGGTAGTCTCGTTTTCCCAATTTTTTCTTTTCCAGCCAGCGCCGCGCCGCCACGCAGCGTGCGCCGAGCAATCCCGGCTGGTGGATTTTGCTCTCCCACTCGCGGGCGGTTGCGCTGAGTCGTTGCCCTCCCCAGCCCTTGTTCTCCGTCGCTCCTGCTGATCGTCTCGTCCCCTAGCCGTTGCCCAGATGCTTCGCCCCGGAAGAGGAAGGGGGGGGGGTGGAGGAGGAGCAGCAGCAGGAACGCAGGAACGCCAGGAGCAGCAGAGGGGAGGATCAAGAGGAGGAAGGGAGGGAGAGGGAGAGGGAGCGTCAGTGAGCGACGCGAGTCGCGAAGCGCGTTCGGATTACACTACGAAGCCCGACGAGCCAACTCAGCCCGGCTTCGAACTTTCGGCCATCTGCCCGAAAGTTGTCGATTTAAGCATTCGGTTCGAGGGGGTCGTCGCTTTGTGGCATTCTTGAGGGAGAGCGAAAGGGAGAGGGAGAGGGAGAGGGAGAGGGAGAGGAGGAGGAGGGGGAGGGGGAGGGGGAGGGGGAGGGGGAGGAGGAGGAGGAGGAGGAGGAGGAGGAGGAGGAGGAGGAGGAGCAGGAGGAGGAGGTGGAGGAGGAGGAGAAGGAGGAGGAGTTTCCGATCTGAGTGAGGCTTGCCCCAAGGTCCCGTCAGAGCCGTTCCATTGCCGTTTTGACTCAAGCGATTTGGCTCACGTCGTCGCTAGTGTTAAGCGGTGTAGGTTGCAGCCATCACCCAATTGGTGTTGATCAATACCAGTTGGCCCCATAAGAAATTTCCATGAATAACTTTTGCTTGTTCCTTGTGATATGTTCGGCAAGTTTCGGCATCGGCCCCGCAAGCGGTACAGCAGTTGGCCAGCACAAGGATGCGATCGATCTCAGCCCAAGAACTCAACCGACAAGGCTGATGCGGAAAGCACATGGAAGCAATGATGTGTTTGCCGATTCCGACGAGGACCACATGACTGCTCTAGTTGACGTTGATGGTCATGTCTCTTATTCTTCGGAGATGGTGGATTCCGATCAGGATGATGAGTTTGGTGACAATGCTTCATGGGGCGAGGGGTTTATTGATCTCAACGATGGTTCGTCCTCTGATATCGACGATGATTTCGAGCTCCCACCGTTCCCCAATCAAAGCTTGCTGGATGACAGCGCTGCGGATTATGAGGCCTCCGGACTCAGTTGTAGTGTCACTTCGCGTTTGTCTGGCAATACGAACCACAAGGTAACGCCGGATGCCAACATCGTGGCTTCGAGCTATTGGCATAACAGGGCCGATCATGGCCGGGGGCAAATGTGGCGTACCCGTCTCAACAATTATGGAACGACTTGGTGTTCCCACCACAATGCCAGGGATCAGTGGGTCCAATGGGACTTTGGAGGAGACAAGATTGTCACGAGGTCCCTGAACATGGGAAGGCACACCTGTCACCAGTGGGTCAAGTCGTACAAGATCCTGTACAAGTCGTCTACGCACAATTGGAAGTGGTACCCGCACACGCTGAGCGGTGGCAACTGGCGCTGGTGCAGGGTGAACACGCTGAACCCTCCGGTGCGCGCGCGCTGGATCCGAATCTACGTGCAGACCTGGCACAACCACATCAGCATGAGAGCCGACTGGGACGGGTGTGCCCCGGCGGTGCCCGGCCCGAGGGGCGCCACGGGCGCGAAGGGCCCGCCTGGGCCTCCCGGGCCCAGGGGAGCTGCTGGCCAGAAGGGGGCTGCCGGAGCCAGAGGTCGGCGGCGAACGGGGGGGGGGGGAACTGCGAAGAAGAAGGCCTTCTCAGGAGGCGGCGGGGCTTCTCAGAAGCCCTCACGCTTTCTGACAAAGTTCTCTCTGTGCCTCGGAGAAGCCTCAGAACACTTCTCAGAAGGCCAGGGGACTTCCGAGCCTTCTGAGGAGGCCTTCTCCTTCTCATTTCCCCCCCGGGCTCGCCGCCGAAGAGGTGCTCCTGGAGCCAATGGGGATCGCGGAGCCCCAGGGGTTGCTGGTCGTCAGGGGCCCAGAGGACTCACTCCCAAGCCGATCGACTGCATCTGGGACGAGTGGGCAGACTACTCCGACTGCACCAAGTCTTGTGGCACCACGGATCCCGGCACTCAGGTCCGGTCTCGTGGCTTCAAGGTCGATCCACAGAACGGCGGCAAGGATCGGGTGTTGCTAGAAGCGCCCCTGGCCCAAGGTGCCCCCAGCGTTTCGTTCCATTTTCAAGTCCTTGGGGCCCTCTGGGCCTCGTGAGGGGTGCTCTGGAGGCCATCTGCGCCGCCCCGAGAATTCTGGGGGTACCTTCGGCCAGGGGCACTGCTAGCAGCACCCGAGAGGATTGCGAAGGCAAGATGTTCGAGACAAAGATAGGGGAACGAAGAATGATATAAACATAAAAACTCAGAGGTCCGCGCGGATTTCTCGGATCCGCGCTGGAGCCCCCTCCATGGCGCTCGGAGCGCGCCAGGGGCGGCGCCGAGGGCGCCGCCAAAGGGCTCCAGCGCGGATCCGAGAAATCCGCGCGGGCCTCTGAGTTTTTGTGTTCATGTCGTCCTTCGTTCCCCTAAGAGAAGTGCAACGTGAAAGCGTGCCCCACGACGACCACCACGACCACCACAACGAAGAAGGCAAAGTCCAGCACCGTGCCTCTGCGTGCCGATGGGCTGGTGTCCTTCACGGCGCTGGCAGCGGCCTCGATCTCCCTGCTGCCGCTGTCAGAGTGAGTGCCCGGCAGCGCAGCGCGGCGGATACAGTGAAGGAGGAGGAGGAGGAGGAGGAGGAGGTGAGGGAGGGGGGGAGTGGTGGAGGGAGGGGGAGAAATAGGCGGATGAAGAGGAGAAGGGGGAGGAGGAGGAGGAGGTGAGGGGAGGTGGGAGATGGGAGGAGGGGGAGAAATAGGATGATGATGATGATGATGATGATGATGATGATGATGATGATGATGATGATGATGATATGATGATGGTGATGGTGATGGTGATGGTGATGGTGATGGTGATGATGATGATGATGATGATGATGATGATGATTGATGATGATGTGATGGATGATGATGATGATGATGATGATGATGATGATGATGATGATGATGATGATGATGATGCTGATGATGATGATGATGATGATGAGGATGAGGATGAGGATGAGGATGAGGATGAGGATGAGGATGAGGAGGAGGAGGAGGAGGAGGAGGAGGAGGAGGAGGAGGAGGACAACGGCGAGGGAGCTTCTTGGGTGCTTGGGGGCCTTATGGTGGTCCGGGAGGCCTCTTGGAGCGTCTTGGGTGCCTCGGGGAGCCTCTTGGGGCCTCTTGGGGGTCTCTTGGGAGCCTCTTGAAGGCATCTTGAGCGCCTCTTGGGGCTTCCTGGGCGCCTTTTGGGGCCCTCTTGAGGCGCTCTTAGGAGCCTTGGGAGCGCTCTCGGGGCCATCTTGGAGGAGATCGATCAACAAAAAGATGGGAGCTTCAATTGCGTTCCCCCCTCGGGAGCCCCAACAATCGCCTCTTGGGCCCCTCTTGGGGCACTCTTGGGCGCTCTTGGGGCCGTCTCGGGGCTCCCTCGAGCCTCTCTTGGGGCCCTCGAGCGTCCTCTTGGAGCTGTCCCGAGGCCTCGGAAGGCCATCGGAAGCGAAAAGGCGAGAAGGCACACACAGTTGATTTTCCTTGGGTAGTTGAAAGATGTTAGCCTCTGGGTGGCGTCCTGGGGAGGCTCCGTGGCCACTTGGAGCCGTTTTGGAGCGGTCTTGGGGTTTCTTGGAGCATCTTTGGAGCCATATTGCGCCATCTTGGGATATCTTGGGCCGTCTTGGAAGTAATCCTGGGCTCTCTGAGGCCCTCCTGGAGCCGTCTTGGGCCATCTCAGATGTTCTGACCGCTCGCGAACCCCCCCTCCAGGTCCAGGGGAGGGGGTAGGGGGAGGGGTCAAGCTACCCACCCGCCCGCAAGCCGCTCACTCCCACCCGCCCCAACACAGAAGTAGCACCCGAGCCTGAGCATGTTCAGCGGTCGACTTTGAATGGACAGCTACTGGGAACCAAAGCCGACCCCAGGAGCGCGACGCTTGGGCGAGGTGCGCCACGCGTGTCAGGGGCGCCAGGTGCGCCAGGCACCCCTGAGGCCCGAGCGTGCCAGGCACGCCTGGTGCGCCAGATGCGCCACGTGCTCCGAGTGCGTACCGCACACTCCAGCCGCGCCAGGTGCGCCACGTTCGGGGCACGTGCAGAGTGCGTCAGGGTGGCCTGCGCACGTGACAGCACACATCGGGAAACATGTCGGCCCCCACCATCCTTGTCGAAAACCACTGCCCATCATTGTGTCAGGTGGGCCTGCGCACAGCAGGCCACGCGCCACCGCCCTCGCCTTCCCTGCAAAGAACCACAGTTGACAGTGATCGCGGGGTGGCCGCGCATGATTCAGATTTAGCCGCGAGGTGCATTTTGTATGTTTTTTGTTAGGAATGGTAGCCCTGCGCACAGCAGGAATGGTCGCCCTGACACCCCCGCTGTCCCTGTCAAAAACAAGGTGCTCGCGGGCCTCACGAACATGAATCAAGACTTTGCACCACATTGTATTTTGTCTTGATTTTGTCAGGGATGGTGGGGGGCGGCGCTTCCACGCAAGCTCCAAATGTGGAGGCAGAGTGCGTTTTGCATTGTTTGTTGACAGGGACGGTGTGGGAGGGGCGCATGGGGTTGGCATGGTCCCGCGTTGGCTGCCAGCCAGGGGGAGGGGGTGTTATTGATCGGGAGCGGGAGCAGTGACAAACCCCTCCCCGAAGGGGGAAGAAGGGGGTTGGAAGAGAAACCGCTCTAGACGACTTGATTACGCCCAGAGGGCTGGTCGGATTCGCAAGAGCGTAAAAGTTCAGCATCAGGCCTGCGTAAGTATCACATGCGACCAGTTGGCAACAAGGGTGCCGGCAGAGCCGTACCGAACATTTCTCCTCCCACTCATCCTCGTTGTCCTCCTCGTCTTCCACGTCGTCGTCCTCCTCCTCCTTCTCCTCCCTCTCCTCCATCCCCCTTCTCCTCGTCCGTCCTCGTTCTCGTCCTCCTCCTCCTCCTCCTCCTCATCCTCCTCTTCCTCCTCCATCCTCCTCCTCGTCCTCTTCTCCTCCTCTTCATCCTCCTCCCTCCTCACACTCCTTCTCCTGCTCCTCCACTCCTCCTCCTTCTCCTCCTCCTCCTCCTCCCTCATCCTCCCCCTCCTCCTGGATCTTCCTCCTGGCTGCTCCTCCATTTCCTCCTCATCCTCCTCGATCCTCCTCCTCATGCTGCTTCTCCTCCTCCTTCTCCTCCTCCGTCCTCCGACTCCTCCTGCTCCGCCGCCGCCCCTCCTCGATCATCCCCCTCTCCTCCTCGATCATCCTCTCTTCCCCCCCCTCGATCATCCTCACTCCTTCTCACCCCCCTCCTTGATCACCCTCTTTCCTCTTCCCCCCCATCTCCTCGATCATCCTCCCTCCTGGTCCTTCTCCTCCTCCTTCTCCTCCTCGATCATCATCTTCCCTGCTTATCCTTCTGCTCCTACTCGATCCTCCTCCTCTCTTTTCTCGATCACCCTCCTTCCCCCTCCCCCCCCTGTTCCTCGGCCATCCTCCTTCCCCCCCCCCCTCGATCATCCTCGCTCCTTCTCCTCGACCCACCTCCCTCTTCCCCCTCCTCGCTCATCCTCCCTCGTACCTCTCCTCGGTCATCCTCCCTCCTCCTCCTCCGCCTCGTCTTCCTCGATCATCCTCACTCCTATTCCTCCCCCTCCTCCTCCTCCGCCTCCTCCTCCTCATTATCATCATCATCAACATCATCAGCATCAGCATCAGCATCATCAGCAGCATCATCATCAGCAGCATCATCAGCAGCATCATCATCGGCATCGTCATCGTCATCAGCATCATCATCGTCATAATCAGCAGCCGCCCCACCACCATCATCATCATTACCATCACCATCCGCATCATCATCATCATCATCATCATCATCAACAACAGCATCATCATCATCATCACCGTCAACATCATCACCACCGCCATCATCAGCAGCGGCCACATCATGTTCAACATCATAGTCAGCATCATCATCAGCATCATCATCATCATCATCCTTATCCTCCTCTTCCTCCTCCTCATCCTCCTCCTCCCATTCTTCCTCGATCATCCTCTCTCCTCCTCCTCCTCCTCCTCCTTCCTCCTCCCTCTCTTCTTCCTCCTCCTCCTCCTCCTCCTCCTCCCCTTTTTCCTCCTCTTCCTCCTCCCTCCTCCTCGGTTATCCTCCCTCCCCTCCTTCCTCCTGGATCATCCTCCCTCCTCCCCCTCCTCGGTCATGCTCTCGTCCTCCTCTCGTCCTCCTCTCCTCCTCGATCCTCCTCGATCCTCCTCCCTCCCCCCCCTTCCTCTAACATCGTCCCTCCTCCTTGATCAGTTCCTGCTCCTTATACATAACTCTTCACTGTCGAAAGGGCAGGCCGGGCGTTTTGTCCAAGACGTCCTCACTTTTTTGTGGCCCTGACGCTTAAACATTGGCAAACGTTTCACTGATGCAGGGCGGGTCGCTTCCAAAATGTGGCTGCCGCCTTAGCGCCGCGCACATTTCTCTTTGAACATTTGCAAGAGTTTCATGAATTGGGGGCGGCCCGTTTTCAACATGTGGCTCTCGCCTTAGCGCCGCGCACATTCGTTTTAGCCATGTGCAAGAGTTTGACGGATTGGGGACGAGTGGTTTTCACAATGTGGTTCTCGCTTTGGGGTCGCGCACTTTCGATTTCACATATGGCAGGGTTCCCACGGATTTTAGGGCAGATCGTTTTCAACATGTGGCTCTCGCCTTAGCGCAGCGCACATTCGTTTCAAATGAATTGCAAGAGTTTCACGGAATGAGGGCGGGTCTGCTTAACATGGTGGTTTTCGCTTTAGTACCGCGCGCGTTCGTCTTAAATGGTTGCAAGGGTTTCACGGGTTCCCATGGTCAACGTACCAGATTATGTTTTGCAAGGACTCAGGGTTATGAGGGCGGAACAGGTGGGATGATTCGCGGTGTTAATGTCCCAGGAGGGGTGTTCTGGCGCGATTCAGGATCGTCAAGACGCAACAGTCATGTAGATTCGTGGCGTTGGAGTCCCGAGAATAGTGTGTTGGTACGCTTTGGGGTCTTCAACCGGTTGTCTCCCAACGAAACTGCCCCCTCAGAGGAACTGAACACTTGCAGTGGGTTATGAAAAGGGAGCTTCGAGGGAAGGGTTATTCCAGCATCGCTGATGAATATTGGGTTTACACTGGTCCTCCCTCCTCCCCCTCACCGATCGTCCTCCATCCTCTTCGATCATCCTTCCCCCTCGTCCTCCTCGATCATCCTCCCTCTTCCCCTCCTCGGGCATCCTCCCTCCTACTCCTCCTCCTTGATCATCCTTCCTCCTCCCCCCCTCTTCCTCCTCCTCCTCGATCGTTATCCCTCCCTCCTCCTCCATCATTCTCCCTCCCCCTCGTGCTCGTCTGTCTCGATCATCCTCCCTTCTCCCTCCCTCCTCGATCATCCTCCCTCTTCCCCCCCTTCCTCCTCGATCTCCTTTTCATATTCCTCCTCGACCATCCTCCCTCCACCTCGTATTCCTCGGTCATCCTCCCTCCTCGATCCTTCTCCTCCTCCTCCTCCTCCTCCTCCTCCTCCTCCTCGTCCTCTCCCTCGTCGATCCTCCTCCCTCCTCCCTCTCCTCCTCGACCATCATCCCTCCTCCCCGGGGCATCTTGTGGTCCTCCCGGGCCATTTTGAAGCCATCATGGGCCACTGGAAGAGGCCATCAGAAGCGAAATTGGGGGAAGGCAGCCCACATGGATACAGTGCCGTTTTTAATACATGGTCCGCGTGCGGATCATGTATCAAAACATACAGGAAATTAGTATTAAAAAACCATGAGTTCATGCATAACTTTACTCATAAAGTAATCATGTATTAAGATCATGTGTGTTTGAAAATCCTATGTATTAAAGAACTGCCCTGTACCATTTGGTTTGATACGGGCTTGGGCCTCTTGAGAGCGTCCTTAGGGGGGCTCCTAGTCCATTTGGGCCCGTCTTAGAGCGCTCTTGGGGCCCCTTGGAGCATGTTGAAAGCCACACGGAGGGACCCCTGCTGGAGGCCATCTCTTGGGCTTTCTGGGGCCCTCTCGGAGCCATTGTTGGCTATCTTGGGCCCCCTCACCGCTCGATGCCCCCCCCCTGTTTCCTCCCCCC